AATTGAAATACAGTCAAATATCTTCACATGTCTGCTAAATATTTTATGTACAAAAATATAAAAATTGTTTAAAATTATAAAATATATTACTGTAGAAAAATCCGGTGATATCTCTTGAAATTTTATCTTCCATGATTTGTACATGTTTTTATATTTGAGCCTTTGGTCTCCATTTGTTTGTCACTTTTTTTTCCTTTTTGGCACAAATATTTCTTAAACTAACATTAGCTCTATAAATTCAGTTTCATAATCTCATATCTTCATTTAATTGATGTAACTAATATTTATTAAACGTATGTAAACCAATCTTCCTCATTGTGAAAAGGAAGAAAATAAAACTAAATAATTATAGCAATGATTAAAAAATCTATATCATTTTGTTTCATCTTCTTTATAGTGTGGCAGCAGCACTTCTTTATAGTGTGGCAGCAGCAGTAAACAGTTTTGATTTTTTTGTGTTAACTATATAAATACATTACTACGGGAATAAAATAATTAAAATTTTATTGTGAGGAAAATGTTTAATATTTTCAAAAACAATGATATATAAACTGAAATACAGTAAAATATCTACATATGCCTGCTAAATATTTTATTTACAAAAATATAAAAATTGTTTAAAATTATAAAATATATTACTGTACAAAAACTCGGTGATATCTCTTCATTTTGATGAGTTTTAGATTCATATTTAAGTTTATTTTGATCATTCAAGATTTCATTTATGTTTTTATATTGCGTTTGCATACATAATTGCATTTGATAGGGTCTAAGATGCACAATTGAGAAATTTAGGCAAAAATCAAGGGTCATTCTGCATAATTTCAGCCTTTAGGGTCAAAGTGAAAGAAATAAAAAAAATTGAGGGATCAATTTACAATTATACTGACGTGGCAAAAGGAAACAACCCTATTGGATGTATTTTTTTTAATCTGATGTAGACACCATAACAATGGTTGATATCCTCTTTTATTTATAGTAGATATATGATGCTTATTGACTTTTGTTATTTTGTTGATATTTAATTTATTTTGTTGATATTTAATGAGAGTGTATAATGCTTTCAATGCCACTAGAAGTCTTTTCAATCAACACATACAGTAATTGTTTAATTTCAAAACTAAGTTTCACATGCAATACAAGAAAATAGTTCTATTGCAACAGAAAAATCGCAAATTCCAGTTTATCAAAGAAAAAAAAATGCAACGTTCATTTTTCGTTAACAATTTGCTATTGTTATTGCATATTTTTGCAATAATTAATATTCCTTACATTTTTGTTACAAATTTATTGCAAAATAACAACTATAAAAGATGTTGCATGCTTTTGTTACTAAATTACAATGTTTTGCGACATAAACAAATATCTTGCAAACATTCAACACTTTTGAATCCTTGCTAATTTACAATATATATATATATATATGGAAAAAATATGATAGTAAATTTATTTTGCTTTGGTATAATATGGTATCTTAATTAACTTCCATTCTTCTCTGGAAATATCTTTCTTATCCATAGATACATCTAGTTTTTAACTAGTATAGTGTAATTCTTGTTTCTTCCCAGCCAAAGTTCATGTTTTACTAAGTTGGATAGATCGTTGATCACGTGAGGAAGATGCAGAATAACCACATGTAACTTCTCAAATTTCTTTTGTGTCATTGTTGCAAAATGGATTGTTATGTAATCTGCTGATTTGTCAATTTCTTTATGATTATAGGTAATTTTTTTTATTTTTCATATTTTTAATAATACTATATAAAATTTATTTTATAATTAAAACAAATTTACATTAGTAATATTATATTTTAGAAAATAGATAATTCTTACATACTATCTAATTATTTTGAAAATATATTTTCTATCATAAAACAAAAAAATTAAGATATAGAACTAATTAAATATAAATCAAACAAAATATTTATATAAATATATTTACTAACAGTTGGAAAAGAGCGTAATTTCTCAAGTATTTATGACATGTGAACGTTGAAATATAATTAATTTGATGTTTGATGTAATTTTTGAAAACATAAATAATAACTTATTATGCTATTTTTAAATTAATAAAATATAAGCTAATAATATTTGTTAACTTCTCCACGTTTTTAGCTAATTTTGCTTATTTGTCATTATGCTGGTTTTTAATAAAACATAAACTAATAAATATTTGTCAACTTCTCTATTATTTTAGGTAATTATGATTACTTTTATGCTTTAATAATTTTATATTTATTATAGAATTAAAACGAACTTATATTATTAATATTATATTTTTAGAATAAAATAATTTTTATCTTTTATACTGTTATCTTGAAAATATATTTTCTATAACAAAATTTTAAAATTTAGATATAAAGTTTATAATTAAAAATAAATTAAGTACAAATATTTGTATAAATAACTTTTTAAAACAATTCTGATATGTGAGTATTTTCATTTATAATTAATTTGATATTTGATTTAAACTTTTTAAAAAATAAATAATAATTTATTATTCTTATTTTTGAATTACTAGAACATAAATTAGTAAGTATTCGTAAGAAAATTATATCCATATATGCGGACAAAACATCTAGTAAATTAAAATGTTATTCCTTATAACCTTCCTAGGGCGTACAAGTACCATCGCACAAAATCCATATAATGTCAACGATTAATCCTTGAAAATAACAAAAACTAAAAATCACAAGTCAAAATCCAAAAAGAGATCTTTGAATACAAAAGGATTATCCAAATAACATCATAGTTCCAAAACTAAAAATTCAAGCTAAATTTAAATTAGTTACAAACTCGAATTATGTCCACATATCCGCAAAACAAGATAAACTTAAAACCTGAAGCTATTAGGTACTTGACAGTAAAAATCAATTACAGCGATGCGGAGTCGGGCTTGCACAGATTTTTTTTGAAACATTTGCATTGGGTCTCCACATTGTGGAGTCCATATTTCCAAAAAAAAATTTAATGTATACATATGTTTAGTTATATTAACTATAATTTTTTATTTTTAAGTTTTTGTTTGTATAATAGATAAATATATTTTTAAGCTAACAATGAAATACATAAGAAGTAATTTATTTTCTAAAAAAATAATGTTATTAATAAAAATGGGTTTTTATTATAATAAATTATATGAATTTATTAAAAATATGACACATAAGCAAAATTACCTAAATCATGAAAAATTATAAATAAGCAAATTTACTTAAATTTTATAATGAAAAATATATTTTCAAGATAACAATCTAATGCATAAGACTTATCTTATTTTCTAAAAATATAATATTATTAATATAGATTCGTTTATTATCTAATAAATTATATATGAATTATTAAAAAATGAATAAGTAAAATTATTTAAAATCATAGAGAAGTTGACAAATCAGCATTGCGTAATTTATATTTAAATATAACTTTTTGTTACTTGATTTTTAATTTCTATAATAGAACAACATATTTTCAAGATAACAATATAATATGTAGGAATTTTTTTCTTTCTAAAAATTAAATATTATTAATATAAATTCATTTACTTCATAATAGATTATATATGAAATCATAAAAAACATGAAAATAAGTAAAATTATCTAAATCACTGAAAAGTTACAAATCAATCATTAGTTCACTTAAATTTTATAATAGAAAAATATATTTTCAAGATAACAGTCTAATACATAAGAATTAATTTATTTAATACATAAGAATTAACTTATTTTCTAAATATATAATATTATTTATATAAATTCGTTTTTATTATTTAATAACTTATATATCAATTTATTAAAACATGAAAAATAAGAAAAAATATTTAAAATTATGGAAAAATTGACAACTAAACAAATTTACGCTGAGAAGTTACAAATCAAACATCAAATTCACTTAAATTTTATAATAGAAAAACATATTTTTCAAAATAACAATCTAATACATAAGAATTATCTTATTTTCTATAAAAATATAATAATATTAATATAAATTTGGTTTTAGTATCTAATAAAATATATATGAAATTATTAAAATAAGGAAAATACCTAAAATTGTGAAAAATTGATAAATTATCCAAATTATGTAGAAATTAATAACTAAACAAAATTATCTAAAATTATAAAGAAATTGATAAATAAGCAAATTTACTTCTCAAATAACAGTGTATATATATAATGCATTAAGTATAGTAAATAAGTGGACATGAAAAGAAACACGATAAAAACGTCTTGGTTGTTGTTGTAGCAACTTTTGTTGTTGTTATTTCAAATAAATAACTGGACATAAAAATTAACCACGATAAAAACGTTTCGTTTGTTGAGGTGATAACAAAATTATAATCGTTCTTTCTATTTGAAAGTTTTCAATAGTCATTCCTAATAACATGCTTTAACAAAAAGAAAAAAAATTAATAACATGAAAACATAATTGCACTAAATAGCATTGAATCTTCTAATTTTCCGAGTGGTCCGGCTCTGCAACTATGATCCTAAACGCTGCGTCGAATCTCCCTATCTCAAAATCCAATTAACACACAACCTTAAAGGTCAAACAAACAAGTTGTCATCATAATACAGATAATTTTGTTAATTCAGTTTCACAATTTTAGCTAATCACGTTACCCAGCAACACAAATATCTTGTTTTAAAAATAAAAGAAAGAGTTTCGTATAATCATTAGCCAACGTCATTCTCAGACAAAAACTCGTGAGGCTATAAACTCATTCACATCTTCAAATCTTCTTCTTCTTCTTCCTTGGAGAAATCTAAAGTCTCCACCTTTATACAAATTCTCCAAAAGGTTCCGACTTTGTATATTTTCTTCATCTGGGTTACACCAATTTCGTTCAAATTCAATTGGGTTTGTCTCAATTTTAGGGTTCTTGATCCCTAATCACTTGAACCAAACTTCCTCTCTACTCAATTTCAAGGTCAAAGTCCTCACCTTTAACGTTCTTTACCTCTTCCACGTCTCCAAAGTTCGTAACTTTTGTATAATCACTATTTTCAGATGACAAATGAAGAACAAGAAGTTGCTGCTCCTTTGTTACCCAAATCTCAGGGACAAGAACCTGCTTACGATGAATTCAATGGAGCTTCGTTTAGTGGAGCGGTTTTCAATCTCTCCACCACCATAATCGGTGCTGGAATCATGGCTTTGCCTGCTACCATGAAGATCTTAGGGCTTGTGCTTGGGGTTGTGATGATTGTTGTCATGGCTTTCTTGACTGATGCCTCTATTGAGTTCTTGCTTAGGTTTAGTAAGATTAAGAGAAGTAGGTCTTATGGTGGCTTGATGGGTGATTCTTTTGGGAAGCCTGGGAAGGTTTTGCTTCAGGTTGCTGTTTTGGTGAATAACATTGGTGTTTTGATTGTCTACATGATCATCATTGGTATGCATTGATCTATTTTCTTGTCTTTTTGAGAGTTTAATATGTTTTGTTGTATCCAAATGTTCAGGAATTCGTTAGGCCTATATACTAGATTATTGATTAGACAGGAGCCAAAACCTCTTATTTGGCGCTTAAACTGATTATTTTTAAAATCGTTTAGTTTATATCCGATTTGCCTATTAGGTGGACGCCTAAATTGATTCAAAAAAAAAAAAAAAAAACTGATTTTTTAGGGGCTTAGACTACTGATTTTTTAGGGGCTTGGACTAGTGATTTTTTAGGGGCTTAGACTACTGAAATTTTTTTTTTTTAAATGTTTCGTTTAGATCCGATTTGCCGATTAGGTGGATGCTTAGATGCTGCCTAAATTGGTTTCTATAAGAGTGGTTGTATCTTACACTCTTCTATGGTTTGTTTTGTTGTTGTTGAAGGTGATGTGTTGGCTGGAAAGACAGAAGATGGGACTCACCATCATGGTGTTCTTGAAGGATGGTTCGGTCACCATTGGTGGAACGGAAAAACTTTTGTTCTTCTCATTACTACTCTTGGTGTGTTTGCTCCTTTGGCTTGCTTCAAGCGAATTGGTTAGTGTTTTCAGTCTAAACCCTAAGTTTGGTAATTGCTTCTGACTTTGTTGTATGCTTTTGTCTGCAGATTCTTTGAGATTTACATCTGCTTTATCAGTGGCTCTTGCGGTCATGTTTCTCGTCATCACAGCGGGGATTTCTATCATGAAACTGATCAGTGGTGGTGTTGAGATGCCAAGATTGCTACCAGATGTTAGTGACTTAACATCCTTCTGGAATCTCTTCACAGTTGTACCTGTTCTTGTCACTGCATACATTTGCCATTACAATGGTATATACACTGACACTGTTCTTTATAAGCTTTTAAAGATTAAACAAAAACTCACTTTAGTGGTTTTGTTTTTTATCAGTTCACAGCATACAGAACGAGCTAGACGACCCGTCTCAGATAAAACCTGTAGTCAGATCAGCTCTTATCCTATGCTCATCAGTTTACATAATGACAAGCATTTTTGGGTTCCTCTTGTTTGGTGACGATACTCTTGATGATGTCCTTGCAAACTTTGACACTGATCTTGGAATCCCTTTTGGTTCTGTCCTTAATGATGCAGTTCGAGTCAGCTATGCTCTACATCTTATGCTTGTGTTCCCTATTGTTTTCTACCCGTTGAGGATCAACATTGACGGACTCTTGTTCCCTTCCTCTCCATCTTTAACTACTTCAAATGTAAGGTTTGGTTGTCTCTCTGCTGGTCTCATCACTGTGATCTTTTTAGGTGCAAACTTCATCCCTAGCATTTGGGATGCTTTCCAATTCACTGGAGCTACTGCTGCTGTTTGTCTCGGTTTCATATTCCCAGCTTCCGTTATACTAAAGTAAGTTGATGGTTTCTGCATACAATTGTTGTGTAGCTCTCTTAGTTAAAGCAGATTTGGTAGTTTACTTCGACTGGGCGTTTTTACCCTAAATGGAAGTCTGGACCTTACTTAACCTGAACCGAAAACCAAAAACCAAAATCCGACTGTTATACAAAAATTTCTGAACGAAAGAAACTTAAGTATTTTTGGGTTCAAGTACAGCCCGAACCGAAATCTGAATTAGTATCTGAACGTAGTTAATATGTTAATATTTTTTATATATGTTGAGTAATTTATATATTTTAGAGTATTTTAAAGATTTTTGTAGTTTGTTTTATGTGTTATTTTGAATAATTTTTAGTTAGTTTGGGTAGTTTAACTAAAATTTTATTTTTAATAATGTTCAGTTAGTTTAGGTAGTTTAACTAAATTTTTAGTTAAGATTTTTTGAATAATTTGTATATTTTTCGTATTTTGTTAAAATTTTTAGTTTTTTTGGTGATTGTTATAACCCGATCCGAACCTCGAAGAAACTAAACCGAACCGATCCAAAGATTAGTAAAGTCCGAACATGGACTTATGAGCATAGTACTGAAAATACGAAGAGACATGGAACACGCCCATACTTATTTCGATGTTTGTTACGTTCTTGCAGGGATCGTCATAGCAGAGCAACAGGCAGGGACACAACCTTAGCCATTTTCATGATTGTTCTTGCGGTATTGTCCAATGCCATCGCCATTTACAGCGATGCTTATGCGTTATTCAAAAAAAACACACCTCGTGGATGATGGAAGCAAAAACGTTTGTTTTTTTTCATCTTCCCCTCTTCCCTTATGTAAAAATCAAATAATCAAGAAGACGAGACTTCTCTTCTCTTGTAGTTTGTACCATTTGTCGTTGAGGGTTTGTAGAAAAACTATGTATAAAATCAAGTGTAATAAAATGCCTATCAACAACCAAATCAATCTACTTGAATCCAGCAATATGGTGGAAGAGTTACAGTGATCAAACATTGACATGTTACTTGTTACATTCCAAAACACATGAGGACGTAAGTGGAAAGAGAGAACAAACCAAAACCAAAACCAAACAATGTTTTGGATACTTGTGTGTGTTTGTGATGAGTTCATGTTTCTTCTATCAATTCATTTAGCTGTTGATGTAGGCTTGAAACAATCTATGTTGCATAATCCTACAGATCTTATCATCTCCCCAAACCTGTCATCATACATCATCATCATTATCATGATCATAACATCAAACAAACTTGAGATTTTGTTTGTATACCTGTCAATGCTATTCCTCGCTTTCTCTGTTTGTATCTGCTGTTCTGCAGACCCATCAACACTTTTCCTCGTTCTTTCTCTCTTATCAACGCTCGCTCTCGCTTTATCCTTACTCTCAGTACTCAGCTTTGGCATCTCTCTTTGATCCATACTTGGTCTTGCCTTCTCTCTTTGGTCTGTGCTTGGTCTTGCAGCCTCTCTAACATCAGTACTGCTCCTAGCCATCTCTGTTTGTGGCACACACGCGTTAGAAACCTGAGGCTTCTTTTCAACAGCTGATACAAACTTCTTTAGATGCTTTATGTACTGTGGATATAGCTCTAAATCACAATGGTTCCCTCCTTTGATCCAAAGCGGTTCATACTTTTCTTTACAAAGTTCGAATAGTTGCTTCCCATGAGACCAGTTCACAACATCATCTGATGTTCCCTGCACACAAACCGTAAGCCTCTGGATCAAGAAAATGACTTTGTAAGAGAAACAAAAAGAGATGATACATACGTGAATCACCAGAACAGGACATTTTACAGAAGATATCTTATCAACATTCTGCAAAACGCAAAAAACAAGAACGTAAGTGATGTCCTCAAGAATGTAATATTGATGAATGTTAAGAAGGAGACCTTGTAAATGTCAAACCAGTAAGTTCGTTTCACAGGGTACATGACTCTAAGACCAGATGCAATAGCACTGTGGAGAACAACAGCTCTTAGGTTTGGTAACCGAGAAGCTAACTCTAACGTTGGTCCACTTCCTACGGATTGTCCATATAAGATAACATCTTGTTCCTTCACATTATATTGCTCCTCTAAGCATCTATACACTGCTTCTATATCGTAGTATGTGTTCTGCTCACTAGGCTATTAGAGAAACCAAAGTGAACAAAATGGAATTTACACACATAAGTACATTATTGAATCTATAAAACACAATGATGTCATTACCTTCCCTGAAGACTTCCCATAACCCGAATAATCATACCTTCATAACAAGTAACAAAGAAAATCAAGATTTATAAAAACCAATATTCAAAAAATCGCTAGGCAATGGTTAGGCGTTTTATAAAGAACTATTGTTTAGGTAGACGCCAAAACCGATTTAAAAAAAAAATCGGATTGAAAAGATTTATAAAAACAAATGTTCGCGAAATCGTTAGGTGGTGATTAGGCGCCCTCTAACGAGTTATTGTTTAGGCACACGCCTAAACCGAATTTTTGAATGCGTAGACCGATTTTTAAAAAATCAGATTGAAAAAATCGTTTGTTTTATTTGGATCCAATTAATAGATTAGACCGATTTTTAGAACAATGATAAAAACACAAACAAAACATGAACATAACAAAATATCAAACAATGGATCTCACTTATACATGGTATAAGAACTCAGATCCATTAACATATTAATACTCAATTTCTCATATTCTCTAGACTATCTTACAGCCTCAAGATGTGCATCAGACACTACTTCTTGTCCTAATCCATGAGAGCAGCTTACAAAAACTTGTCCTAATTCTAACTTTAATCTACCAAATTTTGCAAGAAAGAGTAATAACTTTACCCAATCAAGTTGACGCGAAGATGGAGGCTGAGCTCGGAGAAGAGCTCAAACATCTGGCCGAGATCAGCAGCGTTGCCGTGGGAATAGAGAAGAGTGAGTGAGGCTGTAGGGTTCTTAATATACGCCGCAACCACCTGATTCCCTCTCTTAGTCTTCAGCTTCAACACTTCAACGTTCTCCTTCACGTTCTCAACGCCCGTTAGCCTCAGCTTCCCTGTCTCTGCCACAACTTCGACACCGTAAGAAGGTGGGTTCGGCGGGAAAAACGCAAACTTCGCCGCCATGGATGACGTCACCCCGCCCATCTTTGACTACCCTTTTGCCTATAAAAGCTAGAAACTCAATTTGAAAGGAAAAATAAACGAACTTTCCAGGAAAGTTATGAAATTTACTCTGTTTTGAAGAAACAGAGTACAGGAAAGTTATGAAATTTACTCTGTTTTGAAGAAACAGAGTAAAAGGGTGTTTCTTTTGGAGGAGAAAATGAAGATTTGTTATTCAGATGCAACAGGAAAAAGATGAAAAAGAACAAATAAGTTTTGTCCAAAAAAAAAAACAAATGAGTTTTTATTTTATTTTAAGAAACAAATAATTAAAATTTTAAAAAGATTCAAACTTTGATCTAGATTTGGTTGACTGGGTGGATGATTGTGTTTTTTAAAAAGGTGAGAGTGAGAAGACGACAAAAACATATGGAGAGAGAGAGAGAGAGGATTTAGGGTTTGGAGTCGGAAGAATTTGAATAATGCAGTTTTCACGGAGGAGAAGCGGGGGAGGAGGAGGAGGAGAAGCACCACCACGTGTTTTCTTTTTCTTTTTAATTCTCTCTTTGTGTGAACAATTAAATATTAGATAGTAACCAATCATATTAAATGAAAATAATAATCATAATGGAAGAAGTGAGTTAATAGGTTTTGGCTATTTGGGATGTGACTGAGTGAAGTTGATGTGTCGGTAAGCTTAGATTAGATAATAAATGACAGAAGTGAAATTNCACCACGTGTTTTCTTTTTCTTTTTAATTCTCTCTTTGTGTGAACAATTAAATATTAGATAGTAACCAATCATATTAAATGAAAATAATAATCATAATGGAAGAAGTGAGTTAATAGGTTTTGGCTATTTGGGATGTGACTGAGTGAAGTTGATGTGTCGGTAAGCTTAGATTAGATAATAAATGACAGAAGTGAAATTACACACGTGTCAGTCTAGGAGATGTGCTATCTTTAGATCTTTGCATGAAGAGGAACGATAAATTATTTTGTTTTATTTTCTTTATTTTGTTCTTTTTTGATCTAGCAGAATTACAGAAATGATAAGATTCATGTTTGTTTTTTTTGGCTTGGTTAGATAATTGCTACTCCTATTTATCTGCGACAAAAAAAAAGAAGAAGATAATTGCTATGTATATTAATAAATGTTATTTTTTGTTTGTCCCAAGAAAAATTAAAATCCAATAATGATGCAAGAATGATTAAAGTAAGATAACCAAAAATCAATAATTGTGAAGCAGGACCATGATTTTGATTATAAAATAAATTATAAATGCTAACTTTATATAGCAATTGGCTTGAATTTAATATTATTGTTTGTAACGTTATTATTGTCTAATGTTTTGATTAGTGCCACGCACGGGAGAGATGTGGGAGAATAACTTTCCGCCAGAGGATGATTGAATTCGAGTCAAACCGTGCTGTAAAGTATATATGTGAAAAATATCATATCCTAAGATCGCAGCAAAATATTTTTTGGTTTATACAAATGGCAATTTTTTGGATTCAGGATTTTCTATTGGTGGTTAGACTATATAGTTTGATATTCTCATTAGATAATAAAAGGTGCTGATTAGACAACGTTTCATGGTTTTGCTTTGTAATTTTGGTTATATACGAATAGGTCTTGAAGACTTGAACATCAATCAATATGTAAAACATAAGTGATGTGCTCGTGAGCAATGAGCATAGTGGGCTCCAGATGAGGCCCAAATCTGAGGCCTTAATTAATATGGCCTTCTTAATGCATGAGTTTTCCCTTGTACGATTGTCATGAACCCCAAACGTCATTGAACTCCTGAATACTGTAGTCGATGCATGCGAGTAGTCAAGATAATTACTGGTCACCCTTTTCGTAGTTAATGTGGAAAACTCTAAATTAAAACTTGTAATGAAACAAGTATAGTATTTTCTTTTACAGAAAAAAACTAGTAGTATAGAATTTGCACGGTTTATAGCAAAACAGACGACCAACTAATCCTCAAAGTTTGATCATAACTCGATTGTGTCATCAGAGATCTTAAGGAATGGTTCTGATGGTCACGAGTCGGTTAAGGGAGAAAAAGTATCACTAGTATTTAAAACAAGGTCTCCACAGAGAAACTAACAGGTAAGGGCATCTACAACCCAACTTCATTTTTTACTCTAAAATGGAGTAAAATAGAATATGAAGTAGAAAACACTCCAACCCTACTCCATATTCTACTCCATAATAGAGTTTACTCCAAAAATGGAGTAATATGTTTTTTGTTTGTTCATCACTCCATTATGGAGTGGAAAATGGAGTGGGGTTAGAGCATTTTTACTCCATATTCTCTTTTACTCCATTTTGAAGGAAAAAATGGAGTTTTACATTGGAGATGCTCTAAGAAGAGGGACCATCCCGGGCAACACGTCGTTAGCTCTAGTTTCCACGAAATAAATAGTAAGAAACCAAAGCTCTTTTAGTTAATTAAGTAAACATCGATTAGTTTAGCTATATATAGTCTCCGTAAATATTTAGTAAATCCATGTAAAGACACATTTACATCTTCCCAACCCCTGCACTTCATTTGATGCACTTCCTCGTGCCTTCTTCGTTTGTATCTTGTTATTTTATTAAAGTCATTACGTTTTAACATGTTGTGTCATTAATTCACATTAACCTATTCTGACAACATGTGACATTTCTCACTTCTTATTCTTTATTTCTTACATCTTACTATAAAATTGTCCACCCGTTTTAATTTAATGAAATTATGAGCTTCTAATTCAAAATAAATTGAGATAATAAATGGAGATATTGAGACTTTGCTACGTATTACTCATGTTCCTTTATCCTTTACTTTTTTATATGAGACTCTTAACATAGTTTTACATATGTTCCTTCAACTATACTTAAATCTTATCTCTTATCTTTCTAACCCTATAAAATATGAGAAGGATGATACTTATCTCGCCTTTTGGTTTTGTATAGCACACTAAGGAAATAAATCCGTGTGCCGGATTATCAGCTCCGTGGTACAACATAAATTTATATAATAATTACGTTGTTGTGTCTGAACTCTGAATACTGAAGATTCTTAACTATCCATCTTTTGTCTGTATATATATATTTTATCAACGGAGGTCTAAATTAAAAACCATAAGTTCTTTAAATATGTGGAAGAAACATTTACAATATATACAAGAAAAGAAGGGAAAACCGATGGCAAAAAGGTGAGCTATACGTTAGAAATATCAAATAGCTTCTCTCGTCGGATTTCTTATGGCCAAACTCATCATTGAAACTTGAATGAAAGCGTTCGGGTTCGAGTTATGGTCCTTTCAGTTTATGGGCGAAAGTTTAGCCTATTACACCATCAACTGCCTTTTTATATATCTTCGAGGAGCCACCATAAGATATATAACTTAATGAGTATTATAATATAGATGCACCTAGAAGTACTAATATTCTTTTTGTTATTACTAGACGACACAACCGTGCCTTTTTGACTCGGGTCTTTACTCCCATGAGAGCAAATTAAAAAAAAAAAAATCAGATTTTATAGCTAATTTTATTGAGCTTTACTTCCCTCATGTGTAGGTATCTTTTCTTCATAAACAACATCTAGAGAGAAGAGAGAGAGAGAGAGAGAAAGACCATATTTGGAAGCATATTTGATAATCCTGATGAATCTCACAAGCATAGTACTAGCTTTCCTTATAATCATTCAAGCCCTAGAAGAGGACCATATCCTACTCTATGCTCATGAAGGTGCCTTTACACAAAGATCCCTAATTTTACGTTTCTTCGTTCCTCTACTCTTATCTCACATAATTTTTGTTTTTTCTTTTCTTTTTCTTTTTTTGCTCTGAAGACTAGCTTTATAAAAAAGCTACAAATAACTTTCTTTTACATTGTATCTCTCGATTTGTTTTGGTAGGCGGAGATGCTGGTCACAAGAGTCTAGACTATAAAGATAAAGATTCATCGACACTGCATCCTAAAGTATGCCCTTTTCATAAAGTTTATCTCAAAGAATTTGTATAGCTTAAATTAAATACATCCATTATATCAATTTATACACAATTACAGGATTCCCACCACTTCACCAGCACTGGAGCACCGAGGAAACTAAGGTCCTGTAGAACAATGAGAACCACGGTGGCTAGAGCCGAGAAGGAGAAAGTGAGGGCGATGAATAACGATGATTTGAGTATAAAGATTTCATCAGGTGCATCAAAGCATTTGATGGTGGAGCGAAAATTAGGGTTTCATAAGAGAAGTAAGAGTTCTTCATTTAAATGGAAACCTAAGAAGAAAAAATCTTCTGGTCGATTTGTAGCTTTCTATGATGATTATCGTGGACCAGCACGTCACCCTCCTAGACATAACCTATAATCACAACAGAAAAATAATATACTTTGTAATATTTTTAGCATTTTTGTATATTTCCTTTAGTTAGTTTTATGTTTCTTATTTTTGGGTCAAAACTAGTATTAAAGTTTTGTACAAAGAACATCATCTGTCTCCTTTATAAGAAAATGAAGTTCATTTTTCGTTTATAATAATTACTAATAGTAGTGAGCATATCTTCATTCTATATATGTTTTGGCTTTATTGCAGGAGAGAATAAGAAGACCAATATATTTGGAGATCTTGACACCAGTAAGGTTGGTGTTGTAAACCTTTCTTTAAGACTATCATCATAGATTTAGTCTTTTAATTAATCCTACAGTATTAATAATTTCGTATATAATTTGTATTGGCAGCATATTGATGATCTCACCAACGCTAATAGCCTACCAGAACGTGAACAATTTTCTTCAGATATAGATATGAAGAAACTTTCTCGGTTGTTACGCAGTGATTATCCGATCCATAGTAAGCCTCGCGGAAAGCCTCCAGTCCATAACCGAGATCCTGACAAGATTTAACTGACTGGATCGGGCGACAAGAGTTTGAGTCATAATTAGAAGTATGATGATAAATTTTGTTAGAAAGATAGTTAATTATGTTGGTTCCTGTTTTGTTGATGTCTATAGGGACTTATGTCTTGTGTAATAGAGTAA